TTTTTTTGACACTTTTTCTTAAATTCAGGTCTTCAAATCTACATATGGAGCTTACTGTTTTCCACAGCAGTTGTCAGTCACCCTTCAGCTGTACTCTTTCTGGCTTTTGCAGCCACCTCGTACACCAACAAAATCTTGGTTCCTATGAGATCAGAATTCTTGTCCTTCTCCCTCTAAATCCATTCTCTACAGTGATTAATTTAGGTAGCATTTGTGCACAAGTTCCAGTTTCTCCCTCAGCAAGAAATATTAATCAGAGCAGGGGTTTTCTCTATGGTGCAACAAGAACAGTCATGGTTTATTAGAGCACTCTGGATATTGCCTTGCTGCCTCTATGGAAGATAAGACGAAAGGCAAACTCCTTGCATCTTTCCTGAACAAGGCATAAATCTGCTCTGCACTTTTGTCTTTTTATGTGAGAAAAACCTTGGACCTTTGCATACTGCCTAGCAGGCAGCTTCTACTGCTGTGTTGTGACACTGAGCTGCACATTCAATATCTGCTGTTTTGTCTACAAAGGTGTTGGATGAATGGTTGCATTCTGAGAGTGTGTGTTAACTTGAAGTGCTCCCACAAATATGCTATAAAGTATTCCACGTCATAGCTCCACTCTCCCAAGTCCTATCTGGGCAAACCAGAATCCTAAGAACCCCAAGCCTCTCAAATATTTTTATATTCCAAAAATATAATGATCCTATGTTCTGGTGTTTGCTTCTGGGATGGTCTGTATGTTTATCCAGCTTCTGCCTTATCGAAAATACAAATATAGCCACAGAATCATAGAAACATTTAAGTTGGAAAAGACCTTTAAGATCATTGAGTCCAACCACTAATAAGCAGCTGTACTTATTACCAGTCACACGATGACGACCCTCAAAGTGAACAGGGTGTGCTTCCAGAGAGCTCTGTGTGTGCAGGAGGGACAGCAAGTCCCAACACTGCTGCAGGCAGCAACTTCGAGAGCCACCACGTTGCTGAGGAAAGTAGGGGAATGCCAGAAGCATGAAGACAATTTCAATGATATATAATGATACAACAATCAACTATATGTACATAAACCAAGCACTGAAATATCTGTGTTGATATTGCTTTACTGGTATTTGTCAATACTTCATCTGGTGCCATTTCATTAACCAGCAGTTAAAGTTCAGTCAGCATTAACCAAAATATTAAATTTCAGCACATGTTGATGCCCAGTAATTCCTTCAAAAGTGTTTCACAGCTCAGGAATTGCCACTTTTCTTAAAACTGCCATCTTCTTGGCCAAATCCTATACTTATTCACAGACCTGCTAGCACATGAATTACGTTCACTATCCTTACTTTCATCTGTGTAAGTCAAAGTGTATGGTTTTGGTCCAATACCTTGCAAAGTTCCTGCTTTGACAGTATTTACTGTGATAATTTACAATTCTGTCAATTTCTGCACTTTGCAATTTAGCTACTGCCCATCTATTCTGGTAGCGGTTTGAAGTGTTTCTCCTCTCAGATGAAAAATTGTAGTCTAGACCTTGGCTACTGCTAGCAGCTGCACAGAGACAGCTGAATATTTTATCAGTCAGACACCTACTTGCAATAACTGCACCCTTATTCACATTTTAGGTTACCTGTGTACTGTTTGTATGCAATAAAATAGTCAACAAACTTTAAACACATTTAGGAAAAAGACATAGATATTATACAAGCAGTAGAGCCAAGTCTAGGCTTATTTCCATTTTCCATAATTGTTCCAAAAATAGAACAAAAATTTGAAGAACTGAGAATGTTACACTACCAATTAAGATGATCGTGCCATTTCAAAATCCACTTCAAATACTTCCTCTAGGCTGCATGCATACTTACACATGCACAAAACAGAAAGCTGCCACCACACCTTGCAAACAGAAAAATGCATCTGCATTTTAAACCAAAACCAAAATAAAATCTCTACTTGCAGTCATCTCCTTTTCAAAAGCTTTGCATATGACTCTCACAGCTGTAGAAATCAACTATTACTTCTGATCAACAAGTCTGCCATAGTGGTCAATCTAAATGGGAAAAGAACAGTTCTGCTGCTAGGAGTAAGTGGAGTAAGATATCCAGTCTTCCTTTTGCAATGTGGGAGAAAAGAGAGAGGCCTTATTTGTAAGGTGTTTTGACATCTACTCACATCTAGGTATTGTCATAGTTACAGATCACTTTCAACACTGTATAAACTAATGAAAATTAACATTTTCTAACACTTTATTTGCAATTATAAGACAGGACATCCATTCATCTGTTAATATTTACAGCCTTCAAAAGGAGAAACAAAAGACAACTATACTGTACCAAATTTTAGGGAAAAAGCACATATTGTTAACCAGGTGTGAGCACATCTATAACCAGGGACTTTTACCTCAAGGAATAGACAAATGGGTTGAAATTATTAAAAAACAAAATTAAAAGGACTGACAGAACAACAAAACACGTGTGAGGGTGAAGAGGTACTGGAACAGGTTGACCACAGAAGCTGTGGATGTCCCATCCCTGGAAGTGTTCAAGGCCAGGCTGAATGAAGATCAGAACAACCTGGTCTAGTGGAAGGTTCACTGCCCATGGCAGGGGGTTGGAACTAGATGATCTTTAAGGTCCTTTCCAACCCAAACCATTCTATGATTCCGTGAAAAGCAGTATAACATTTTTAAACCCATGAATCTCAAATCAGTAAGCATTCAGTATCAAACCACAAGACAGTAAAGAGGATATCTTTCAAAAGGATACCATTTAACTGGACGCTTCAGAAGGTTCTGAACAAATCTTTTACACAAAACTACTACGGAATCTGACTGGACACAGAATGAGCATTAAAAGTAATACACAAGAAGCAAATCATGAAGATGATAAGTTTTCAACTTAACAAATATTAAGAGTAAAGTGCTCCATAGATTTGTACTGAAACTGTTGTTTTACATATTCTTTCATCTGGAAAAAGAGACAATAGTCCACTGTTATCTGTGGATAACAAAAATTTTCAGGTCTATTTTCAGGGCTAACGAAAATTGTGAAGAATAGCAAGGGTAGAACAAAGAAAGATGAATGTTGATGATTAACTCAAAATAATCAACTACTCGTATACCCCAAAGTTTCCTAGGACTGACAGTCATAGGGAAAAGATTAATGAGGTGTTTATTCAGTGCATTCTGGTAAAGAAAACCAAAGTATTCCAGCCATACATAATGTTACAGGAATACATCTCTGGTCAGTCTGTCACAGCCAGCAAGGCTTCATGAGGGGGAAGTCCTGCTTGTAGAACCTGATTTACTTTTACAACAGGATAACCCACCTAATTGATCTAGAAAGGCCAGTAGATGTAATCTTTTTGGATTTCAGCAAAGGTTTTGATACTGTCTCTCACAGGATCCTTCTGGATAAAATGTCCAGCTGAATAACCATGTTATGTGATGACTGACCAAATGGCTCATGGGTTGAGCACAAAGAGTTACAGTGAATGGGGTGACATCAGGATGGTGCAAGGTCACTAGTAGGGTTTGACAGGGCTCCATCCTCAGCCCAGTTCTCTTCAACATCTCCATTAATGACCTGGACCCAGGACTCAGAGGAATACTAAGTTTGCCAACAACACTAAGTAGGGAGGAGCTGTTGAATCCCTCGAGGGCAGAGAGGCCCTGCAGAGAGATCTTCATAAATTAGAGGGCTGGACAATCACCAGCTGCATGAAGTTTAACGAGGGTAAGTACTGGCTTCTACACCTGGGATAGGGCAATGCTGGCTGTGTGTACAGACCAGGGAATGAGAGGCTGGAGAGCAGCACTGTGAAAAGGGACCTGGGGGTCCTGGTCAATGGCAAGTTCAGTATGAGTCAGCAGTGCCCTGGTAGCCAGGAGGGCCAACCATGTCCTGGGGGGCATCAGGCAAAGCAGCACCAGCCGGTCGAGGGAGGGGATTGTCCTGCTCTGCTCTGCACTGGGGAAGCCTCACCTTGAATATTGTGTCCAGTTTTGGGCACCACAATATAAAAATGACATTAAGGTATTAGAAAGCATCCAAAGGAGAGGAGTGGGGATGGTGATGGGCTTTGAGGGGAAGCCTTATGAGGACCAGCTGAGGTCACTTGGTCTGTTCAGCCTGGAGAAGAGGAGACTGAGGGGAGAAGCCATTGCAGTTACAACTTCCTCGTGAGGGGAAGTGGAGGGGCAGGTCCCAATCTCTTGTGACCAGTGACAGGACTTGAGGAAATGGCATGAAGCTGAAGCAGGGGAGGTTTTGGTCAGATATCAGAACAGAACAGAACATGCCAAGTTGGAAGGAACCCACAACAGGCTCCCCAGGGAAGCGGTCACAGCACCAAACCTGCCTGAGATGAAGAAGTGTTTGGACAGTGCTCTCAGGCACACGGTGTGATTCTTGGGGGTGGTCCTGTGCAAGGGCAGGAGTTGGACTCGATGATCCTGATGAGTCCCTTCCAACTCAGCATATTCTATGATTCACCATACAATACCTAGAGTAGTACTCAAGAAATTACAACATGTAATTGCAGAAGAAGTTAAGGTAGTCTTCCCTTAAAAAGACTTAGTTATATCCATAGGATATAATTTTTATGTAGCTTTTGAATTTTGCTCCGATTTATCTAATGTATCATATATCCAGTGATAGGATATGGAATAAGATGAACTTGCATGGTATAGCAGCCTGCAGTGTAAGTTCCCACAATGGAGAACATATCGATTTGCAGTATCTGATCACTGATTTTGGCCCCGTAGCTTTCTGGAGCAACTTTCCTGTCTTGCAACCCTTCCTGTCTGTAGAGGCTGTTTGACGTATACAAACACCTTTTTAAAATTGTTAATTGTATTATAAAGAAAATCCAGAAACACTTCAATTATAAACCCCCTCATTTGCATAGCAATCCAAATTATTACTGTAAGTTACTGATGCTGTACAGCCTAAGGGAAACACTCAGGTAAAACCTGTAGGATGAATCTTTTATAAAAACAAACGCAACACCATTTAAGTTATTAGAAAAAAACCAACATTTTAATCTTGAAGACTTTTCAAACATTACTGCAATATGATTGTAGGAAAATATGCTTCTTCTTACAAGGAAGTTAAACATATCGAATGAGATTTGTATCTTCTTCAAATACAAAGTTTGATTTTCCTTGTTCAATTCCTCATTGCCAACATGGCATTTATGTCCCAAATAAGATTCCGTAACTGATCCATGATCTGCTTCAGCTGCTGATTCTTCTGTTTCAGTTTCTGTGGAAAGAGTTTATTATCAGGTTTTTTTGTGATCAGTTCAATTAACACACTCAAAAATTCAACAAAAGTTACAGTGTTATGAAATGTTATATGAACCTTTTCCTCAGTTGTCTGTGAGCACTATTAGTGGGATAATACATCCCCTTAAAATCACACTCTAAAAATACAAGAAAGCCTCAAAAGTTAAGGACCATTGCTACAGGGTCAATGCTGTTCTCTTCACAGCATTCTTTTTATCAGAAAAAGACACCTTCAAAAGCTGGAGGTTTGTGGAGACCATTCCTCACTTTTCAAAGTCCAAAGGAGAGCATCGTAAGTAGGAAGAAACAATTCAGAGAACAGGTAAATTTATGTGAATATATGTTTTGTAACTTGGGTTTGCAGAAAAATGAGGGATTAACAGTAGAAGTTCGAACAAAGCAAAAGGTATAGGTGAAGTAAATCAAGCTTTTGCAGCCCTTCTGCCTATGTAGGTCAACTGTGATGTGCTTAGAGTCCTGTCTTGAAAAAGGTTCTCTCAAGCATGCTGAATTCTTTAAAATTATGTATTTGTTTTTGCAAACTGCAGAAGCACGTGAAGGACAAGAAGAACAGCAAACTTGCTTTTATTTGGTTGCATAACCAAAACTTAAAAATTATGTCTTTACAGAAGAAAGATCTGGGCACTAAGACATCATACAGTTTCCTTAACCTTTCATGTTTCACAATAATACCCGTATTTATTGTCTCATTTATTCATTCTTCTGCTCAAATCAAAGCTGTTGAGAACTAAGTTAGGTTGTTGTTAACAATACACAGCATGTCCTTCATTCTGATTTGACAAGATGTCAGCCTTCTCACATTAGAGATCAAACTACTTATTCATTAGGGAAGTCTGGAGTTCCAAGTAAAGTGAAAGAACAGGAAAGACTTGCTACCATCAAAAGAAAACAAAATGTTTCAGGTTTGACATAACTTTGTTATTGACACTGCACAAATGGCAATACATTAAAAGGGCGACTCAGATCAGTAATACAACGAAAGCAACTGGAACAGTGATAAAATGAAGCAACAAAAGAAGTAATATCCTGAAAACTGTCTCCTGTATTTTGATGCAGACAACACAACAATATTTTAAGTTGTCCAGATGGTCAGTTGGGAAAGAAGTCCAGAGTAAAAAAGGAAGCCCACTAATTTCAGACCTGTAAAAACAGTCTGAAGTAATATGGTAGTTAGGCTTATTATGGGGAACATAGTAAGAGAAATATTTCTGAACACAGACTTTGAGGGACACATTTCCTGGAAGAAGAGACAACATTCAGTTCCAGACTCCTGAGCAGGATGTGAAAACAGAGGTAGGACAGTTCATGTGCAATAACACTGAATTTCTAGTCAAGCATTTGACAGACTAAAAAGTGTTTAAAAGATAACTACGGGCATTTATCTAATGCTTCTTTCAATTCCATTTGCTGATCCAAGACTTCACAATATATAGCAGAGATCCAACTCCTAAAGACGAGAGAGAAAACTAAGAATCATGTAGTTACCACAGCACCCAAAAGACAGAACTGCAAGTGTCTTCCTACAAAGGTCTTGATGCTTGAGAAAGCACAAGTGGGATGAGATAAACAAGCACGTTCACACCTGTGGCATTTTTAAACATGTTTCTATTTGCCATCCTTAACATTCAATCTTAAAGAAATCAGTGAATGTTACATCAAAGCTACTAATTTAATGCAGGTTGATACTGAGGGCATGTCATTTCAAGATTTTTCAAAACCTTCATCAATAGGAATGAAGGGTGAACAGTCAGTGATGGTTATTCAAGTCAGACAGAAATAAGAACCATTGACCTCTGATAAGCAGACCGTGTTCTCTCTTCATCCATGTCTAACTGTATTGTTAAATACTGTTACTTAGGTAAGCTCACATGAACTTTATGCAAGTTATGCCCAAAAGACTCATTCTGTTAAGATTGTTTTCCTTTCCTGTGCAAGCATTATGACACTGTAAATTGCTTGATCTTTATTTGATATTAGACAAGGGAACCTTCAAACTGGATTTCATTTGTTTTCAAAGCATCTGTAAAGACAGGAAGTATAAAATTGTTTCTTTATTTATCTGAAGATAATTTTAGATCCTTGCCTTCAGTGAAGACCTATTTTTTTAGCTCTTCTACTTTTTCTAGAGACAGAAAAAAAACATCTAAGATGAAGCACCATCCCTGGATTGCTAGGCTGGTGAAAGTATAAAGAGAGGAGAAAATATCCACTTCAGAGAGTATAGTCTCCTAATTGAAATGCATAGAGTGATCTTTGTTACTGATCTTTGACAGGCAGTGGCTCACACCACAGAGTAATACATAATTAATATGTTCTACACCACTGGAAGTGCTGGCCTCTGTTTAAGACTTTGCTGAGCCAGTAAGAACACCTCAACCCAGGTCTAACCTTGGAAAGATAGGTGAAATGGCATTCTTGGGAAATGGGCAAGTTCTGTAAGCAGCTTCTGCAGTAATGACAAATTTTTGTTTGAACAGATTGCTTGCAAGTTGTCTCCCACTCTTTCCTCCTTCAATTGAAATGACTTAGCTGAACTCTGGACTGCTTCTCAGGATTAAGAGTTGTATGAAACAAGAAAAAGTGCTTCATCCCACATATATGCTACAGCTTCTGACTTTATCTGTTTTAAGATAGCACAGGGAAACTATCTTATATGAGGCAGTTTATAATGATTTAAGAGACCTAAGTTCAAGTTACATCTGACAGGCAGGTTTTTGTTAGTCCCCTTCTGTCAGAAAAGGGATCTGACTGGAAGTTTATAATGAGTTTAAGAGACCTAAATTCAAGTTACATTTGACAGGTAGGTTTCTGTTAGTCCCTTTCTGTCAGGAAAGAGATGTGACTGTAAACCAATCCTAAGAGGTCTTCTTTGGTGATACTAATATTCAGTGTGATTAACTACCCATTTTGATTGACCCTGCAAGCACTATGGCCAGCAGGATGGAGTTGGCAAGGACTGCACCTTCCAGTAACCAACAATACCTCAGTAGGCATAGGTCAGGTAAGTCAGTCACGAAAATAGGTACTGAAGCACAAAACCCACATAAATGAAATTATGTGGGAGAACCATAACATACATGCAGAAAATAGCTGTCTTTCAAGGAAAAGAAAAGCTGCCATAAAGAACTTGCCACGTTTCATACAGATTTGGGTTTAGTAGGACACAGTAACTTCAACTTCAACTGAAATGGAATTTCTACTAAAACTAATTTTTGGTTCACTTTCATTTCATTTGAAATTAGTGCTGTCTAGACCAATTCACAGCTTACTACCAGAGATGCATCAGAACTTTCCTTCAACACTGTTCCCATCTCTCTCCTCATTTTAAGCTCATCTATCCTTCAAATTTTAAAACCAAAACATGAGTCATTATGCTGCATCTCAAGCTATTTGTTAGAAGTCCCTTCTTCAGGCAAAGAAAATAGTGTAAACACTGTGGACGAGTAAGATCATATTCCAACTGGTGCCTGTAAAAACATCAACAGTACTTGCCTATGTTGTACAGGCTCTCCTTCTGCTTAAGAAAAAAATAAAGAGGGCTTTCCACCTTGAAAATCTTATATAAAAGACCATACCCTGAATGCTGTGACAGCTTTAGTTTTCACCTGCTCTGTTGAAGATCTACAACTGCACAGGCCAGAAGGACATCTCAGTGTAATAAAACATTAAATATTAGTAACAGTAGTACCTTTATTTGCATAAATCTTGGCAAAATTAAAAAATTATACTTTGTTGATCATGACTCTACTACAGAGAACGGGCATCATGTTCTTTTCCATTAGCATAGAATCATGGAACAGTCTGGGTCAGAAGTGATGTTTAATGGTCATCTTGTCCAACCCCCCAGTGAGCATCTTCAACTAGACCAGGTTACTCAGAGACCAATCCAGCCTGACTGTGAATGTTTTCAGGGATGGGGCATCTACCTCCTCTCTGGAAAAGTGTTTCATCACCCTCAGCATAAAAAATTTCTTCCTTATATCTAATCTAAACGGACTTTCTGTTAGTCTAAAGCCATTACCCCTTGTCCTATTGCAACAGGCCCTGCTAAAAAGTGTTCCCACCTTTCTTGGGAAGCCCTTCAGGCCCCTTTAGGTACTGAAAGGCTGCTATAATGTCTCTGTGGAGTCTTCTCTCCTCCAGACTGAACAGCCCCAACTCTCTCTGCCTTTCCTCATAGGTGAGGTGCTCCATCCCTCTGATCATTTTTGTGGCTCTCCTCTGGACCTGCTCCAACAGGTCCATATCCTTCCTGTGCTGCAGACCCCAGAGCTGGACACAGAACTCATGTTACTCCTTCTGACCATTAAACTGCTGTAGGAAGTGATTGTTGAAAGCCTTATGAAGGTGACAGAGGCTTCCATGTTTCCATGTAAGTCAAAGCCAAAAAATTTCTACAGAAACACAATGTCTGTGATAGGAAAGTGAAATTTATACTGTCTCTTTTTTAAATGAGTCCTTTATATTGAAATCTCTGAAGTAAGGTCGAAAAACCTTCTCCTTTCTTTTTTCCTTCGGTTTTATAGTCAAAAGAATGGCAATATTATACGCATATAGCTGGAAAAAAATATGATACAAAAAATGTCCTCAACACTTTGCTCAAACACTCTTAAAGCTGACAGATGATATTCTAACTTATGTCTGCTCAACTGATACCAAGGCCCACTTTTCATCGTAATATTGATCTATGTATAATTTTTTTCCAAAGGGATAAAAAATATTAATCACTAATACAGTAACTGCTGTGCAATTAAACATTAACACAGCTTTTCCTGATGTCACGCACAGACATAACTGTTCTACCCCTACCAGAAATAAGACTGGGTTTTCTGCCTTGCTCCTCACCTGACAGCTGAAGGGAAAACTGCTCCTTCTGCACGTGTAACTCTGTGTTCCTGAAACATGCAGAGGCACCACTGACAGCCTGTGCTCCACTGCATGCTCAGTACTTTTCAC